GATTTTGAGCTCAGGACCTCACACTTGCTAGGCAGGTACTCTGCCACTTGAGTCTTACCTCCAGCCTCTTTTTACATTGATTATTTTCAAGGTAGGATTCTGCTTTGTGCAAAATCCTGTCTGAGCTACGACCTTCCTACTTATGTTTCCCTGTGTCACTGGGGGTGACAGGCACACACTGCTTCATTCAGTCATGGCTCATCACTGACATGTGCATCTTGCCCAGCCACTGACTGAGGTGGACCCTTAGAAACTTCTTTTTGTTTTTTTTGGTTTTGTTTTGTTTTTGTTGGTTGTGGGGCTTGAACTCTGGGCTTGGGCTGTCCTTGCACTCTTCAGCTCAAGGCGAGCACTCTACCGCTCGAGCCACAGTGCTAGTGGTTTACTGGAGATAAGAGTCTCACGGGCTTTCATGCCTGGGCTGGTTTTGAACTGTGATCCTCAGATCTCAGCCTCCTGAGTAGCTAGGATTAGGATTACGGGCGTGAGCTACCAGTTCCCGGTTTAGAAACTTCTTTTTTCCCACTATCTCTGCCTCCCTAGTAGTTAGGATTAGAAACTTGAACCACTGCACCCAGCTACTTGTACAAGATTTATGAAATAAGACAGATGACTTTCAGCCAGCCCCAGAAGTACCAGAGACAGAAACAGCCTCTGAAGCTCAAAGCAGCGATAGGAATACAAAGAATATGCTTTGCATATGAAAGGCCCTCAATTCCATCCCTAGCACTATAAAAAAAAGTATATACCTAACACTCTCCAAGGAATAGGACCTAAAATCACTTCCTTTTGACAAATTAATGACGAGTCATCTCAAGTTTTTCCGGGTTGACAATGTATCAGCCATAGTTCCAATGTTTTTCTAATTCATAGTAAAATTATATGTATGGCAGCATGCAAGTTTTGTGTGTGTTTTTTTTGTTTAGTAGAGTTGTGGGATTTGAACTCAAGGACCTCACACTTGCTAGACAAATGCTTTACTACTGGAATCATGGCTTGAACCTTTTGTACTCTACTTACTTTTAGATGTTTTGTTTTTTTGCCCAGACTAGCCTGGACCCTAATCTTTCTATGTGTATTTCTTGTCATAACCAAGGGAACAGGTGCATATCACCATACCCAGCTTTTCCTATTAGAGTAGGAATCTTACAAACTTCTGCCTGTCCTGTCCTCAAAAATGATGCTCCTGGGAGCTGGGAAGGTGGCTCCGTGGTAGAGCTCTTGCCTTGCATGCATGAGGCCCTGGGTTCAATTCCCAAGCACCACATAAGCAAAAAGAAAAAAAGCCGGAAGTGGTGCTGTGGCTCAAGTGGTAGAGCACTAGCCTTGAGCTGAAGAGCTGAGGGACAGCGCCCAGGCCCAGAGTTCAGGCCCCACAACCGGACCCCAAAAAAAAAATGATGCTCCTGAGCTCTGCTTACCAAGTAGATAGGATTAAAGGCATAAGCCACTGGCACCTGGCCAAGAACACAGAGATTCTAAGGCTGAAAGACATCAAAAAACAAAACAAAACCAGGTTTGTGATCCTGAGAAAATTACATAATTGTCTGTTCATCAGTTCACCAGGGGATAGAAGCTGGGCAAGACTCTTGTTAGCGTCTAGAATCAGTGAGTCACCTTGCCTGGGTTAGAAACGGAATTTTACACTTTCTTATCAGGGTCAGATCCCATTGGTCATCAAGCAAAATTGGCAGGGGTCCATGTCAATCATTAAACAATTTCTA